AGGGCTAATTTGTCACCGTTGACGAGTTTAAGGGTTCATATGCTACTGTTTTCAGTTTAAGGGCTTTTTTGTTACCTCCCAATAAGTTTAGGGGGTAATTTGCATGATTTACCAATTATTTAACTACAAATAAATAGATTTCATAATAAAATGATGTTAAATTTAAGTTAATTTATTTTAATCGAAAAATATATGGATTAATTTATTTTAATACATAAGTAACAAGTCCAAATATTTTGAAAAAAAGTTGGAGGGTTAATCTCCACAACATTAAAAACTATGTGAATTAAAATATCCTTTTCACTAAGTTTTTGAGATTAGACTGTTACTTTTCTAGAAATGGAAAACTATAACATTAGATTGGACCATTGTTTGTTATACATGTGTATGAAACAATTCAGCATTCTTTGTTGTGTGAAATGATTGACATTTGCTTTGATTTATGATGATAGGATTTTACTATTAAAAATCATTTACTAATAATAAAAGTACATACAAGTAGTGAGTGAAAGTAGATAACATATAGATATAGTTAGATGATGGGTGGAATAAAAAAACTCATGCTTTGGTATCATAAAACATATTCTAACATACAAGTGGTACCAGTAAAATCACGCTTTGGTAGTTTTGAATTGAGTGATGTGCGTTTCATGTAAATGGGGAAATCAAGCTTTTGACATATGGAATCACATAAAAGCTTTCGTAAGAGAGGCGAAGGCCTTGAATTGCAACCTTCTTTTTTAATGAAGAACCATCTGGATAGAAAATGATAATCTTGTTTAGTCTTGTTCATTTGCCAACATATCTCCATTTCTAGTGACATATATAGGAGGAAACACAGTGTTGCTTCTGCACATTAATTGTAGCGTATTTAACCCAGTATTTTGTTTTTGTCATCTCATTTTCCTCCATTATAAACAAATCAAGATATTTATCATCGTATGTACGAGCCAAACAAAGAGAATTCCCCAAAAGACTAAGCATACCGCGTATGAATTTATTGCGTTTGCCATCTCCAGCTAGAACTGACTGGTAATCTTCATAAAATATGCCCTGACCACAAAGAGATGTCTCCTCTCTTAGTGTCTCCCTCTCCAAATCAAAACACAAGATCACACCACAAATGCTCCTCGCACGATCTTGTTTCCATGCAATCCAGTAAAGGTAGCCATTTACAGCCGTTGCCATTTGGTTGAAGAAAGTGATGCTAAAGCGGTAGGGTACACTGTCATGAGCAGCGTTCCAACCATCCGCTTTCAACCTCAAGCTATGAATATTTCTCCAATTTTGCCAATATTCTATGTGAATGACCTTGTAATCACCAATGACA